GGGGGTGTTGAAGAGGGTCATCATTGTAATTGTCATTAATTGTCATAATCATTCATATCAATATTCCTTAATTATTAATATGTTCTTGCTTGGAAAGGAAAGCGGTCTGAACAAAAATTTCATCATAGCAACTGTACCTGTTCTTCTTGTAACAAACTCAGCACATCCTTTTGTGTGGGAACCTCTGCTGTCTTCATATTGAACAGCTATTTCACAAGACAATTCCCAATGCTTCAACAACCTCTGACTTCCAACTGTTTGGTGCTCATACACCTAATAGGGTAAAAAAAAAAAAAAGAAAAGAAAAGTATTGAAAGAAAAGTCATTATAACCATTTCACATGGGTCATACGGCCCTTGAAAATATATCATATTGGGGATTGAATATTGCAACAATAAAAATAGTAATAATGAATGATAATAATAATATTAATAATACGTTGTCGTTGTCATTGTCATCATCATCATCAAGATCACATCCATAGCACCCACGTCCTCGGGGCTCTAGGACTCAAGGTGCTTCACAGTAAAAATAAGATTTAAATCAACGTTCCCAAAACACACCAATTCTTTCTTCTAATATGTAAACGGCCACTTTCCATTTCCCCCTTTGCGTTTTTTCTATCTATATAATTTAACTGTGTAAAACGGTCACCTGTCCAACGCGACCGTGGCCACCTTATTTTATCAACTCACACTCACAGCCCAATTCACCTGCCTCAGGCAGCCAGGCATGGTCACTCATTGCCCTCAAGGCTTTGTCAAAAATTTTGAATCGGCCCCTCACACTGTGGACGGGTCGTCATCCTTCATTCACCTGTCGTTATTGTTAGTAATGTTAGTCCCTCCAATTAATGTTTACCCAAGTTGGCCAATGGGTAGGCCTAACAATAAATTTTCACTTGCTCAACTTGCTGGTGAGGGCAGCGTGATCCGTCATAACCTATTATAAGCCCAGCCCACAACTCATACACAAATCGTGTGTGAGGTGACTGGTTACTGTTTTGTTGATCTAATGATTAATCTGTAACAAAGTAACAATGGGTGTTGATGTCAACTTGCGACAGAAGCGTTGCTTGTCCTCCGAGTGGTGGCGCCCCATGTGTTTGTTTTACCATGGCACTCTGTCTTCATCGTCTTACTTACAAAATAAATTGTTTATTTTACCCTTGCACAAAATCAGGAACAAAAAGAAAGCAAATTTTAAAAAAACCATACTAAACAGCCACACAGAAAATCCCTTTGAACTAGCCTTACAGCAGTGTACAGCCTGAGATCAGCCCTGGTTTGGACCTCAGAAGAAAATGATTTGCTTTCTTCATTTTGATTAGTCCTGCCTAAGACTGCCACCTGTGTTATACGGCCACAGTTCTTGACAATGGGAGGCCGTTTTACACAGGTTTGACAGCACACAGTCGAACCTGCCTTAACGGAAACCTGTATAAAACCGAATCTCCCCGCTCCCCCTTGATATTCCTTGTTAATTACCTGTATAAAACTGAAACCTGTCCAACGCAGAAACGGAAAGAAAAATCTGCTCCCTTCCGAGGATTTCACCTGTCTAAGACGGAAAATGCTTTGCCCACTCAGCCCTGATTTGAAACAAAACTCGGATTCCCCGCCCCCCCTTGATATTCCTTGTTAATTACC